ACTTTGGATGTTGAATAGATTTTATGTTTGAGTTCAGTCGTATCCATTAATTGCCGGCGTATCACTAACTTAATCAATTTTTTATCCAAACGGTCTTATCAATACACTGAAAAAAATCTAAGAAAACGTGTCCAAATACTTGAAAAATCGAAATGATTCACTTTCTCAGGCTCTTTATCTCCAGAGATACAGAATATCGAGAGATAATTCTGTGAAGAAATTGAATAAAAAAAAAATGTCACAAATTTTTGAGAAATAATTAACGAAATAATTACCGAGGGCTAATTCCTGAATTTTATTAACTCTCCATGTAATTATTTCTGCAAAAACAAATGAATATTCAATAAACTCAATTGAAAAATCTTTAAAAAAATTGCATGCGAATTAAACAAGAATTAAAATGATAATCATCTCCCGAGATTTCCGACATTTATTAATCCCAACGATTTTCTCTCGTCAGAAATGAATTTTCCTCCCGAAGTGAAAACTCATTTATCCCAAAAGAAAATGCGCACACAGCGAAAAAGTTTCATGATATCAGAAAAAAGTGCTTAACGCGAGAAAATAAGTTTTCATACAAAAGAAAATTGTTTTCCGGAATTCAGAAACTTCTATCCTATCATCAAAAAATCATTTCTCCGGTAATTCAAACGGTGAAAAGTTTCTCGAACTGCTGAATATATCCAGAACAGTCGAGAGTTCTGTTCCCTTAAATAAAATATTGATTTTTAAATAAAAAAAAAATTCATACGTGCTCGGTGGAATGAAAACGGATCGAGAAAGTCTCTCTTATTTTCGTGTATCTGCATTTTGTCACATCAGCTGTCCCGTTATATAAAAATTAACAAAGACTGATAAAAAAAAAGTGCAACAGCTCTTGTTAATGACACAATAATACCGAGATAACCGAATAGAATGTCGATGGAAGAGGGCAGCGAATGATAATACCAAACTGACTCTGAGTTGCGTTATCAATCGGTAGCAAGAGGCGGTCCCTGGATGATTCAAGTTTCTACACTTGTTTTTTCATTCGCAAAGAGCTGAGTCCAAGTGCCCCAATCCGTCAGAAACGATTGGACTTTGTAATGGTCAAAGATTGGAGACCGATGATGATGTAGAGCCTCCCCCGAGAATCAAATCAGAGCACAAACATCGTGGACGTCTCGCCAACAGGAGCTCTGACTTATTCCATTAATTTTCATTTGTCAATTCAATTAATTAAATGGCTTTTCGACTGGAGCCTGGACCTCTCAATCAGGAGACCAAAGCCCTAGCTGTGAAGGAACTCCGAGAGACCGAGGAGAACATCAAAAATGGAATTGAAGCCTTACGAAAACTTCTTGAAGGTAAATCCAATTGGAATTCACAAACCATTTGTTCTCGTCCTC